GGGGGGGGGGCGGTTGAATTACGCGTGAACAACTGCTGTTTTTGCTGCTACTACTACTCCGCTTTAAGACATCTGCTATAGAAATTCCTACTAAATTTCCTACTTTTATTCGACTAAGTTATAAGGGGTCATAAAAATGTATTGGTGTATAAGTGTCAGTTTAGTCCTATGGCTATAACGACAGCTAAAGAAGGTTTTGCATTGAATAACTGCTTCATCTGCCAACATTACTTCAAGCGAAATTTCTTGCAAGCAGTGAATTATTGAAATTTTAGAACTCCATTTGGTATAATTCGAGAGAACTCCTTCGAAATGGAAGATAGTAATATGGACCATCTACTTACTTTTTAATGGAAAGATTGTGCATGGGGTGAGATATATTTTCACGCATTCATGGGTGCAAAATCGATAAATGAGTTTAGTGAACACTTCTTTGATACTCTCCAGCTAGATATTTCTCAATGCTGAATGGAGAAAACGATTAAAATTAAAGAACTGACTCTTTTGTACTGACGATAAGCTCAAAACTTTGATTTCTTCTATTATAGAATGAATTGAAAATACCATGTGATATAATATTTTTAATTACCCCCAGACACTGAACGGATATAGCATCATTTTCAGTTGCAATCATTGTAAATCCGAAGTCAATTTTGGAAAAATTTTATCAATAATCATCCTAGGGAAAGCGGTGGTTTCAAGAGGCCATCGAATTCTACCACTCACTAGCAGTTAACCTTTACCAATGCAATTGGATTGGTCACTTACAGGCTTTGCTACAATCAGGATCAAATCGGTAATCTCCATCTTAAAATTCTAGTACGTTAACAACTGCACACCAGCACACAGGCTCAAACTGAACGTAGTGACCTCGAATATATCTTTTCAATAAATTCTTTGGCAACATAACTCTTCATTGTGAACTAGTAAAATCGTTAATTCATGTTGTATAGTAATGTAATTAGAAAATTAATCCATCCATTTCTCTTGAGCAAGTGATTTAAACAAATGGGTTTCTTTATTTGAATCTCGCACGCAATGCCGTAGCTATAAATTGGGGGTTGCAATACCATCACACGTTTATTTTACAATTTACAACCACTCACAATGTTTAACCTGCAAAGCAGTGATGCCCTGAGGCATAGAATAACTGTAGCGAAATTCTAGCCAACAAAACTTACGTATTTCAAATACTCATGTGTGTTTAATTGCACGAATCGTAGTATCAAATTCTTCCATTCCAGCAAGGTAAGCGGTGAATTTGTACTTTTTCTACAATTGGTAAAATAGTGCGTGTTTACTTAAACGATAATGTGAGGCCTGCATAATCTAACATTCTGAAACTATCATATTGTCTTATAAGACACCTCCGTTTCAACCCTATTTTGCATTCTGTATGTTCAGATGAAAGCTCATTATTAGAATTCGAAAGATTTCTTTGATATCACTGCGCTTCGCTTCAGTAAGGGGATTTAGGCGGTTTTTACGTGCTGCAAGTCACAGTTTCCACAGGTTAAAGCCTGTAGCGAAAAGGGGGTTGAGAGTGGTAAGACGATTTATCCAGTAAAGGAGCGCGATTTAGGTGCTAATCTTTTTGCCACACCAAGACCCATTAACTTGGATTGTAAAATAATATTTAAATTTTTCATCTCCGTTCTACCGTCCTCCACTAATCTCCGGTGGAAATGAACTCAACGTTTAGTCGGAGAGTGGCACGAACAAAGCGGCGAAAAAACTATTATTTTGGGTAACTGTTATTCTTAAAATGCATCTCTACCTCCAGATCTCATTTACCATTAGAGCACAAATCGATTCTTTTTTGAGAATCAAATTGATTTATTGCAATCTTAGAAGGACGTGAATCAAATGAAAATAGACATTTGCTTACAATGAGAGTAAAGTTAGAGGTGTCAAAATGATAACATAAGCGACTTACCGGAAATAGTCATTCAGAAATGCAACTGGGTCTGTAGCTGAAATTCAATAAAAGAGAAATGAATTAAATCATGCAGTTGGCCTCACTTTTATGAAAGAAAAACTTAATCAAATTGAGAGGCGGCGTGGGGTAAATGCCTCCTACTGTTAGAAGTTAAGTATACAGTGCTTTCAACCTAATTACTACTATTTGGATTAGATCTGACCTTAATGTGATATAATTTTATGTCTAGTCCAATACTAATGTCAAATTAGAATCACATCCCCATAACCATAATTATATTCTGAGGTGGACCAGCGATTATGCCAATTAGTACACGAATAAATTTATGTAACTTACACTTTCATTATCATTTCTTTTGAATTAAAATTATGTTTTTGTCAATTCCACTGTAGTCAGGAAATAAAGCAATCAAAAGGAGCATCGAAAGTTGGAAATTATGAAATGGAAGTGGAAAAAGAGTAGTTAAGAGGCTTTCTGAAACTGATAATTTTACTAATAATTATTATAGTAAATGTCTAAGATTAACAAATTGTCTTGTCGAATTTTACAATTGATTTAACAGTAATTCATAAGTAAAGAAATCACATAGGCCAATTAAGTAAAGTGCAGTTGTGGAGTACACAATTATACTTAGCAGCAACATGACCTCTCGAACACTCCAGAATGTGCGACCGCAATGGCGATCGCGTTAGGAAGCAAATGAGGTCACGAGTGCAGAGGCCTCTCGACCAATCAATAGTCAGTGCAGGGTTATTATTATCTAAACAATATTTAATGATTCAGCGCCAAGCCAACAGACACACCCTCAATCAAAACAAACATATTCCCCGTCATACTCCTGCTTCATCCACATCGTTGAGACTACTTGGGTAATTCCTGGAGCCAATCCAAGCTGGGGAATTTATTCGTGTAACAATTCGCCACACACCTAACATTGAATGTGCTGATTGGATGATAAGAAGGGTGTTATTGATACCGGATGCCATCACTAATTGAAGGGTAGATATTACCACGCAGATTGATTCATACGATTTCAAAAATTAATTGATATATTCTAATCTTTGAACTTCATGAAAACCTGATCTTTGTATTCGGTTAATTAGATGCCAGCAGATTTTACAAATACCAGTGACTTAAGGGAAGGACATAGAGAGGGGAACCCACAAAATTAAAAAAGTTAAGCATTTGCCTTTTAAAATACAACATTAGTAGATTTATTATCCCCTCCAATGTGTTTGCAAATTGAAAGTTCAAACAACAGCGAAAATGCTATACGTTATTATCTCTAATTTACTAAGTGATTTATGATTAGATTCAAACTTGTTAGAGCTTTGTCTGAGCTATATAGGTAAAGAGTTCAACTCCATAATCGCCATATACGCCATTAGGCATTATTCTCTAAAACTATACAATATTCCACTCCTTATACATGAGCAGCTTATGAGCATGTCAACAATCAGTAACGTTAAATAAAAAATCCACTTAAGTGGCAGTGGCTATCACTAACAAAAACCGCCTTTCTGCTGGTCAAGGTAAATGCGAAGTTATTATAATCAGAGCGTGCTCTTCACGCACACGCACACACAGTCCTCTATGAAGATGGTAGTTTATTGTACTGAGATAAATTGCGTTTTTAATTTATAATTAATTAAAATTAATTTATAGATGAAACCGTGGCAAGCAGGCGATGTTAAATTTAATGCTATATTTACGTGCAGTAAGACAAAATCCTGCTATTATAGAACGCTTTTTCACTGCATCTTGTCTTATACCACTAACCTTCAGAGGAAACAGTGGAATTATGCAGTGCCAAAAAGGCGGATAGTGGTCCCAAAAATTAAAAACACAGAATGGTCTCATAGAAAAACGAGTGCATGTAACAGATAGCGATACTAATGGGGGTGCTAAGGTCTTGCCAAGAGGGCCAATGCACGTTGAAAGTATCCTAAAATTGGTACAAATTAACTATGAGATGGTAAGTGCAAAGACATTTCAATATTAGACAAAGGGGGGTGTGCGATAGACTTACCTCCACGTGGTGCACCCTGGGCAACGTATGCTCATACGGCATAAAATCTATTAACCGGCAGTTGACTTCTCACTTCAAACAACCATCACCCAATTGTATGCCATATTTGACCCCTACCACACTACTCATCTTTCCCTTTCTGAGCCTTTGTGTCTGTCTGTTTCTTTTACATCTGTGAATCACTCAATCTTACCCTTTCTGAGCCTTTGTGTCTGTTTCTTTTACCCTGCTTACCCTTTCTGAGCCTCTGTGTCTGTCTGCTTCTTTTACATCTGTGAATCACTCTTCTCTATCTCCCTCCCGAATTCTTCCCACTTTGATGTTCCTCCCCCCCCCCTGTGAGCCTGAAGTCAACTAAAGGGCTAATGAAAACTATCAAAATGCCTGCCATTTGTTATAAATAAATATTAGACGAAGGAGAGCCTTGTGGAGTGCACAACGCTGTCATAGCTGAACAGAGAAATTTCATGCGCACTCAGACGGGCCGAAGGGGGGGGGCGTGCTAATTGTCTCAAGGTCGTGGCAGTAGAGACCTCTCAGCCAACCACAAATCAATAGTCCCTGCATGGCCCAACAAACCCCTCATTGTTTTTTTGACAAAGCCCAAATAAACGTATTTCACGATATACGCCCGCCTCCTCAATAGCTTTTCGGAAGCTTGGCTAACCCTGGGCGGCTTTATAAACTGGGAGAACTTGTCATAGAGATAGCTGGGCATAAGTCACGATTTTCCAGTATTCGCCACATTCTCACATTGACTACGAGTTAACCCAAGAAAGCAACTACACTTATGATTGAATAAATATCAGCATGAGATAGTGATAAGGTAAATTTCGTTCTACGTTTAAACTCTGTAACACAATCAAAGAACATTAAATTTACTGAAAATTGTTGTTAAGATAATGAAAATTGTTTGTTGTTGCAAAAGGTAAAGTAATGAACGTCGTTGTCTCATTAGTGACGCCTTACTTACTAAATTATGCAATAAGAAATGCAAGTGGTATAGAATTCATTGTTATTTTTTAATGGTTCTGCTATTACCGATAGGGCAGTTGGTAGACTAGTGACCTTTTCAACTTCTAACAAAAATTGGATTGCTAGAATGTCATCACTCGAGAAAAATTATTCAAAATTAATTTTCCTCCAAAGACATTCGGCACTTTATTTTATTCGGAACTCTTGAGGGCGATTAAAAAACCATTAGATAAAGTTGAACTGCAAACCAAACACCATGGTGAAAAAATGATTTTGTTCATCTGCTTTTCTTTAAATTTATTTTTATTTTCTTAAAAGGACAAATTTAGACACAACTTTGCCTATATTGTCAAGTGAATTTCATGGAGTTGAAAAATAAAACATAAAATACGAAATTTGGTAAGTTAGTAATGGGACAAGTGAACTGTTTTTAGATGATGAAAACAGCGATTAAATTTCGACAGCAAATAATTTCCGTTGGATTATATACATAATTATATGACATTATTTTTTTTAGATTAAGGAGTGAATTGTCATAGGTGTAATTTATGTAAAATCCCTAAGTACAAGTTAAGATTTAGAGTATTTTAGGGTTGACATGAATATCCTTCTACCCTGTTGGGGATGTAGTTCTTTCAATTATGTTGATGTATACTATCACAATTCTATCTTCTAAAGGTCTCTACTTTTTTAGGAAAAAAATGTAAGAGCCCGATTAATGGAAATCGCAGAACTATTGCTAATTTAACGCTAATTCAATTGTCTCGCGGTAAAACGTGCCTTTTGTGATTAGTTAGGAAAAACTTAACGCTTTAATAAGCCTGAAGTAATAATATAGAACACAACCTAGCATCGCCATTAAATATTGCGGATTTTCGTAATCATCAATTCAGCTATTTTCTCACTTAAAATAGAATTAGGCTTCGTAGGAAATTTAAATTCAAATTTGAAAATGCGTTTAATATATCCTATGGATTTTAAATATTTGATCATTTTGGCTATTGCATTTATTTGAATTATACCCTTTCCTGAAGAAAACAAATTTGAAGTATGACTAATCGAATCCTGCGGAAGTATAAGTAATTAGGGATGATAAAAAATCGGGTTTTACCAAAAATTGAATCGTGTGGGATGATAGACAGGATATGGTGACGACAATAAACAGGAAAGTCGGACTGATTGGTTATATGCCCCTACAAGGACTAGAGTTCTAACATAAAGGAGAAATGGTTAACTTTTAACACATTCCCCTTAAAATCAGCAGGTCAGGGCAGTTTCGGGGCAGCCAATTCATCTCGCTGTGTTATGGTCACCGACACAGTCAGGTTCCCTTCAAATACCCTCTTCTTTAGGTGGCTATTTCACTAATTTCATTGATTTAGGAGTTAAAGCATTTTCCCACTTAATCTTAAATGTTCTTTTGCAGTTTTCTCTAAGCGCATTTGGATTGAACTCAAAACTCGTAAACCCACCTTCATCTGGAAAAGGAATGCCATGAGTTGCTGATCGAATTTCATTGGGGGAAGAAAATGGCGTCGGGTTCTTTGCTTGTAAATTTGAAGAATTTCCATTTTCCACGGTCTCATCTTCTTCAGGGTAAGATATAGCCTCACTGAAATTTTTTTCTTCTAAAGGTATTCAATTGAATTAAATAAAATCAAAATGAATTTATTCTAATTTTTAGAATTAAAAAAATCGATGAATCGAATTTCTGATAAGGTAAGCTAAAATTTGAATACGGTTTAATTCAATTAAGTTTAGCCGATATAATCGGAGTGTTCTTCTTATATAGCATCAAAATAATAAATAGTTAATAAAATCTACACTAGTATAGTTTCTAATGATTTACTGCTAATTTGGTTCCCCACATTTTTCTCTAAATGTATAAATACATATGCATGGCTGATAAGTATCAATATAAGCACTGTGTTATTGGTAGGTGTCTGAGAAATATAGGCCCTAAAATTGCTGTCATACAAAAAAGTAAACGAAAAGATCGCTATGTTCGAAGAGAGTTGACGAGAAAGCGACCCAATTAGAGAATTATGAAGGGAAGTTGCTTAAAAGAAACTGTTAGTATCTACTTGGTATCGTGGTCAGCAGGTTTGTGTATAAGATAAATGAGTATTTCAAAATGGTGACTCAACTCAATCTTAGTCTGTTTATTTATTTGGAAATTTGTTATTGGTGCAATGTCCCTATTTTCAATAAACTATAAAAGGCTCGAATATATGCATCAGAATTACATTATTGTAATCTATGCCAAAATGTGTGCATTATTTGAGAGGAGTAATTGCATACAATTTGGTTTCATTTGGCATTAATATTACTTTTTTTCGAGAATAACTCACCTCGTCTTGAAAACCTCTTTGAAAAGCTAGGAGACCGAACCCTGCTGACATTGCGGAAAATCTTATTCCTCTGCTGCTGCCACTTTGAATGAGTATCATTGTTAGCTGATTGTCTGGGACCGAATCGCTCTGAATAGACGGCTATTGGATTGGAGGCAGTGACTGTTTTACCATAAGTTCTTTTCACTTGATTTTGACCTGATACATCAGGTTCAGCCTTATTATTATTATTATTATAGCCTTCCATTGTAGCTTCGATTGGTTCCGAGACACCGACTGAGGCGTAAGTTCCTTCACCTTCTAAAACCGGGGATTTGAATTCAAATTTAGAGGAAAAAGTTGTTACAAGCATAATACTTCAAGACGTTTCTGAACAGTGCCTTTAATAGCCTAAATTCAATTTTACTTTGTAAGTCAGAATCCATGGAAAGCCAATGAAAGGCGGTAAAAGTTGTATTTTGCCCATTGATCTTTGCATTGAAAAGACGGCACAGCCTCAGTGCTACTGTTTGGGTTATGACGTCAAGTTAAGACTATAATCTAACAAACTGAAAAGACTCTACAATCCTAGGCATATACAATTTCAAGCTCTGTTTGCGATTTTACCTTGAAATTAAATGAAATTTATATATGCTCACTTGGTAATAGTTTCTCACTTCATCTGCGTCCGAATTTCAGATGACAAAAGACGTAAACATGGATCTATTGACACAACGACTTATCAAATTTGTTTGAATATGAGTATTCAAATTAAAGAGTATATGCTAGCAGTTATTCATTCTTCTTTCACTCCTAAGGGAAGAGTGTGGAGGATAAGATAGTTTTTCGATTTGAATTTCCTAGTCAATCAAGACTCATCTCAAAACTCTGCCCATTTAGACAAAACAAGCGATCCATTGCAACTGATATCACTGACTGCTGAACACGTTGCATTATAACTAAGGTTTGGCTCATTCTCCACCCCATCCCTCTTTATATCAATAATTTATTAATGAAATGGGATTAGATTTGTTGGAAATTAGACGGAAGCAATGAATACAAGTGGTGAGAAATATCACAGTAAATTAAGGAGAGGTGATAACTTTATATTTATGGCGCCAGAAGATGTGTATTATCAACATCCTAATATACCTGCATATATCATGGCAGTTCATCCTCGTGGAAAATTAATCAAACTGGGAGTTACAAAAAAGTAATTTTTTCAAAACCTTAAATGACGAGTGTTAGCAAAAAAATATTTAAATCGATTTTAGGACTCCGATTGTGGATTACCCTCTTAACGAATGTTTCGGGACTTCCTGTTTCAAAAAGTTTCAATCTAGCTTCCTTACCTCCAGATCTATATGAAATTTCTTGTTCACAATATCCAGTGCCTATTGTTTGGCTGGTTGACTATGATAGTGCTATAATATTTTCCTTCCAAAAGTCAAAAATTCGGGATTATGTTGGATTATATGAATTAAATAGGGAACGACTGATTAAAAATCATTCAATAAGAACCTTCCATTTCGATCTATCGAACTACATAGGGACATGTTGCAAAGTTAACGACGGTTGAATGAATTTTTAAATTATCTTGAAATGTCCCCAAAAGTCCAATTACTAGCTTTCGACATTTAGCTTTTAGTGTCAAAGCAAAGAAAGACGGTTGAAAGCGGTCTGCGCCTTTAATTTACTCGTTTATTCAGATAAATCCACACCTTATTGGAAAAAAAACAATTTTTTTGAGTCATGCTAAGCTGCGGCGTTAATTTCTTTCAGGAAAAAAACAGGCTGAGGTCTAGCCATAAAACTCGACATTGCTTCCCATTGCACGCTCAAAAAATTATGAATGCAATAGTGGTTTTAAGGGCTTTTGGCCAAATTCCGTAAGCAATTTCCCTAAAAAGCGAGTTTATTTAAGTAAAAATGGATTGCTAAAATGCTCAAGTAACAACTGGTATAAGAAGTCGATATTATCGAGATGGCACGAAAAATCACTTAAATTAATCAGCAAGGCAATAAGGCCTGCATACGTATTTCACACAGAAAACTTGGGGTCAAGTACACAACTTTGAACACTTAGAACATGACTAAAGGTACTGGGGAGCAAGATTTTCCTAACTATTCGATCCCATTAATTTCCTTCTCAACCGTTTTATTTTGCCCTGGTCAAAAAATCGTCCTGTTTTAAATTCATCGTGTATAATCATAAGATCGATCTTAAGCCATTCCAAAAAGGCTAAAATAAGGCACACTTTGTAGTAATTATCATCTGGATAGCCTTTACCTTCCTGAGGCCTATTGGAAGGTTGACTAAGAGCAGTTTGTTGGAATGGTACCATGGAGGGATCTCTGCGACTGAAGCCACTTTTAATTATTGGAGCACCTTCACTCAGCGAATTGGAAATAGAATTTAGGCTTCCGTTGGACTTTGCTCGCCAACCTGGCGCTTTTTTAAACCGTATTTCATTGTGATTGACACTTAAATTTCGGTGAATCTGCGTAACATTGTGAGAATTTTCTCGGATTTGGTGCTCCTTTTGGGGTACAGTCCTTTCATCTAATGTTGGCAAACACGCTCAATGAGATCAGTGCTTTAATTTTAATATATATATTTAAAGCCAATCCTACCTTGGGTGTTTTCAGCTTGATGAGGAATTTGCTGTCGCTGCAAATTTTCGTGACTGTCTATGCTGATGTTATATACTTGTGTGGTCTGTAGAAAGGTTTTGGCATTGCCAAATGAACGCCGTCCCCAGGATTGAGCTGGTGGCTTTTCCGTTTGATTAACGACCTCTTCTGAATACCTTAATGGTGGTTGTGGTTCACGAACATTGCCATATCCGTTTGACACTTTATTGGAATCCATTTCTACCAATAGGAGAGTAAATTGTGGTAAAGTTTCTTTTTCATTGAATAAATCTGTAGGCGACATTCTAACGAGACCCACCTGAATTTTTGGACGTTGATGTTTGAAAACGTGCTAACGCATTCATGAAACGCTTCTTAGCTGCCTTTTCGTCAACGTCATTTGATGGTTTATTCGCATTTTGGTTCGCCTGGTGTATAACAGGAGGCATCACGGGGTCTGGAATCTTCTCCTCAACCGGAGTCACACTTTGCATTGGTTTTGGTTGCGGAACTGGTACGATAGGTTCAATTTTCTTAGGTAAAGGCTTTGGAATAGGTTTCTTGGTCTTTGTCGAACTAATAATAGTTTCACTACCAGCCATTCTTGATTCGAGTACCTTCTTGATCACAGCTTTGGCAGCTGCGGCTGCTTCAGGCGTCTGAATTTCACTATCTCTAGGGAGATTTTTATCTGGTCCAGAGGACCACGATGCATCTGGTCTTTTGTTTGGTGAAGCTTTAATAGTTGCATGTTGGGTTATGCGCGAACAGGATATAGTTTGAGGTTGTCTAAAGAAACATAATCTACTGCAAAAGTTTCTAACTTACTGTGGAAATTTATTTGAAGTTTCTTCGGTTTCGTTGGATATTCTATCTGGGATACACATGGAAACAGGCCTTTGACTCTCACAAACTGGCTGTTCACTGTTACAAAGCTCTGGATTAGGGTTGAAGGAAATGCGCTTGGCACTACGCTTAGGCGACACATTCTTGTTTCGAGGAGCTTCATGATCACGAGAATATCCATTGTTAGGTGTTGTATACATGCATCTACTTCGATGACACGAACAACAGCAGCTCTGACATCCGTTTTCATGCTGAGGAGTTGCATTGATCATAATGACTCGAGGTTCACTGTATGTGGAGACGGGATGCCTCCAAGAACGAGTTCTTCTACGGCTCTGACTTCTCGGACGTATGAGATATTCATAGACAGCCTCTATATCGTCAAATTCATCATCTTCTCTGTGACCTGGGATATCGCTAAGGGTACGCATTTCAACATACTCCCCTGGAGTTAGATGTATGCATTCATGGTGAGTTGGGAGAGATTGATAACAATGAGTCTGTCCGACAGATGTCTAAAATGAATAGATTTCAATGGATCTGAGATGTTTAAGACCGACATTCTTGTCAACGACAGGTTAATAATTTTAGAACGCAATTACTGATATGCCTTTATATATATCTGATGAGATAAGATTGCATGAATGAATGGCCATTTAAATTGCATGGTTTGACTTAAAACAAATGAACGTCGATATTGGATAAGGAAAATAAGAATTTGCTAATGAAAGAAATCGATAATTTCCCTAAATGAAAAACTTCTGGCTGGTTTTTGAAAGTAATTGAGCATGCTTCTATTTCTTTTTATGTATGGCTTGAGTGGAAGTTGGGAAGACAATTGAAATGTACTCCTTCCAACCACTAAGATTGTGCATGTTAAAATTAATTAAATTAATTTTTTCGCATATTGAAGGGTGTAATTAGATCAGAGAAGTGTGGTGGGAACATGGAGTTACAGCACAATTATGGCAGGGTTGACTGAGAAGTATGCGAGTGTTGAAACGTCATAATGAGTCATGAAATGAGTCATATTAACGCATTAAAAGCGTTTGAACAAGCAGCATCTTGTGGTTGAATTTGATGTTTTCTTCTCTTTTGAGTGATGATTGAGATGTCAAGGTGATGCTCTGTTTAAAAGCTGCCTTAACAGAAGTCGGTTAAAATAAGATATTGTCTGCTGATTTTAACTGGTTCAGAGGTGGAAATGTCTATTTTCAATGCAACTTATTACGAATAAGAAGAGCGTTTAAGAGAAATCCGAAAAGCTGGAGATGTGTTGGTCTATCAACAGGTGAAACAACCTATATCTTCACAATATAAATAGGGGACGTATTTGAAAATGTTAAATTAAAGGAAATCAGCAAATTTATGAATATTCACTGTTTTGTTTGGGCCTCAATTGGGTATTCCTGTCCTAATTGCAAAACATTTCCGTTTCTCCTAAAACTAGGCGAATTTTCCACACAAATATACCCAAATTTGGCGAAATTTTAAAACACAGAGCATTTAGTGATGCTTGTAAAATGAAATGAATAATTAATACCCCACTGGTTTAACTAGGTTGCAAATTAAGAATTGGGAAAAAGATTATGAAAAATTTCGGAGTGTTAAAAAGCTTAACTACGCAGGTTTCCCGATTCGGATCAGTAAGTTACAATATTCGCCAAACGAATTTAGGGGAATGTGGCTTAGGCCCGCAAAATATTTGATTTGCAGTTTGGCGCCATATGCAATACCTCCCGTTTTTTAATGCACGCAGGTTACGAATTACACATTGAAATAAAAAATTGATATTTGCTTTATTCCTTAGCAAACTAGATGTATATTTCTGAGGTAAAAAGCTAAATCTATAAACTTGCGTATTTTCCTTAAATGCTCGTTGCTTTATTTACTCTTCAGTCAACCAAATTGCGTCTTAATGAATTTTGCATTGATTGCTACTGATGTTTCAATGTGAACAATTTTTGAAGTTAAAAGAACAAACACTGCTGTCTTAACGGATTAATCTCACTCTAGGATAATTTCAGGTGGGCTTTTGTTTAAAGCATGTCCCCCCCCCATATACAAACCATTTTAAATGCGTTGGCAAATTGAGTAGAAAGAAGAAGTAGAAATTTTGGAAAGCCGGAGTGAAAGGTTAATGTGGGCTCTGCATTAGGAAGTACTCAAGATATGAAGATAAATTTCGGACAAAAAGACTTGCCTTTAAGGAGGATATGCTAATTTATCATTATTTCACTTAATGTTTAAATTATGGCTTACATTTCTCGAAGCATTAGCTCTCACTGAATAGTTATCAGTCGGCAGTGTGTCTTCATCGCAGTCAGTGGTTGTCTCCTCCGTTTGTCGCCTTGATAACCGGGGTGGTGGAGGAAGATTAGTGGGAGGTGGTGGAGTGGGTAAATGAGGTGGCAGAGATGGCAAGGGTGGTGGTGGAGGAGGTGGTGTTTGAGGTGGTACTGTACTCACTCTGAGGGATTCAGCACGAACCATGGATCTCACAGGAATCATCCTGTAGTAAAAATTAACAAGAATCTTTTATTCATCTATCTATAGGTTTTATGCGGTGATATTTTCAGTTGTCAATAGCATCTCCCTGTAATTAACTTAGTTTGGTAAAATTACTTCGCCTACAAAAGACTTCTTTGTAAGATAACTCAGTGCAATCGAAGTTAGGGAAATAGACCACCAAGGAGAAAATGGTACCAAGTTCCGCAATGCTAGTATCAATGTCATTTACAAGAAAAGGCGATTTTATTACTTTAAGACTACCGGCAATCTGCAATTCAGCATATTTTATAAATTAAGTGAAATAGTGGAAGATATAACAATCAAGATGAGTATATAAGTTTCTAAACTGATCTATTAACTTTCTCTTTTTCGCTTGACAAAGCTCGAAGTTGATTGTTATTAAAATGGATCGTGTACTTTGCGAAATAACACAGTTTTAGGATGAAGTATGAAATCCCAACTTTCCCTATTCCCAATTGCAAGTCTTAACAGACCATTTAATTGGCATTACGCTGACCATCAGTGAACCATACTACACTGGAATCAGTTAGTCAGGACCACCCCCAACAAGCGTTTTGACTACTAGGGGATAGCAATCAATTTAACTAGCATAAAATGAACTAATTAATAATCTGGCGACATTTTAGACAAGAATTAATTCGGTGAAAACACAAAATTTGTATTTCGGAGCGAGTGACCATGAACTACCTAGGTAAAAAATTAAGGCAAGAATTTCTTATGTCCTGACCTTTATTTCACCCTCAATTCAGTTCATACGTCTAGGCCCCTCACTGAACTAACTTATTTTTCAAATGCCCCCAAAGGACTAAAAACAACAAATATGTAGACAGATGCTATGCATTTAACTAACAAATTGCTGAGATATGTCGTCTCATGAACCGATTAGGGAACTTTAAAGCATCGGCTAAGCGTAAGAAGATTATGTTTAACCCTATGGGGTGTCGATAATGTACACGCCTAACATGTAAGGGGTTCGATTTTCATTGGAGCTGGACCGGTGAGCAAAATATCAAACTTCCATTGGCTGAGCCAAGCAGATAACGAGGTTAACAGAACTTGAGCCTCCCAACATGAAGGTTCTATGGCTCCAAGACGAACATTCTGATAGTTCTTCAGAACAGGCTTGGGAAATAAGTTCATGGTAAGTTAAGGCATTTTATTAAAGCTTACCCTGGTGGAACATATTCATGCCGGTTTCCTTGAGGATATACGTAATCATGATTTTGTGCTCTGTCGTTGTGTGGGGCTGAGTATGGTGAAGCGGGATGATTAGAAGTGTTGGCTATAAGAAGGAAAATATTGCTGAAAGAAGCTCAAGAAGTACTTGCATACATTTGTTTACACAATGCATCACCTGTTTGTCCTATTGTGACAATTTTGACTTCGCACTGGGTGTAAGCAGTTGATGATCCGCAGGGAGAACGTATTTCACAGGCATAACTACCTGAATACTCCGGTTTGAGTCCTTTCGCATTGAGTCGAGCTGATTTTCCATCAAAAAAGGTGTTAAATTGGGCCAGGGGGAGTTTAGGGGTGCCGTTGTATGACCACGTGACCTGGGCACGTCGCTCGACTTGAGTCAAGTGGCATATAAGGCGGAGATTGGCTGGGTCAGGTCGTGTAGGATCAATGTGGATTATTTGATTTTCCAGTGGCTGCTCGAATTCAAGCAGGCGATTTTCAGGAGAATCATTTTCTGCTCGTATTTCTATTTGAAGAAATCAAGAATTGCTTAAACGTCACACTCGTTAATAGCTCTACTGAAATAGTGTTAGTAGATAACTTAGTTCAATATCATTTTCCTAAAAATAATATGCTCAATTTGAAGATAATAGTTGAAGCATTCGCTTACTGGCAATTTTGTTGTTTGGTGTTGTTGGTAGGTGGGAACTAAAAAGGAGAAAACAACATTTTAACAATGAAAAAGGAACCATGAAATGTGCTATCAAAGTTAACTTTAAATTTGGTTTATTTCTCGTCTATTTTATCTTAAAACATATGCTGCCGTCATGTACAAATCGATATGCATAATCATTTCTCCTACCCCTAAGAAGCAAAGGCAAGTTGTTTGGATGCGAACAAATATGCTACTCAGCTGTCAAGTAAGTAATCTAAGTTTGTTTATAGAAGGAACTTGACATTTTCCTTTCATAAATGAACACAATTCGGTAACTAAAATGTTCTCATGGGCGGTGAAAGAGTTTGACTATTTTTAGAAGCAGAACGGAAGTTTGCAATGTAGAATGGTAATTAATTCGCCAGAAATCTGGCCAATATGGCATAAAGGTAGAATATATATAAGTGCTTTTAACTAATCATTAGAAGTATTCCTGATTACCCTGAATAAGTTTATAATTATTGTTAAAGTTTTTTGTCGGCGTAGATGTTGAAAGCATGTTCAGAGAAAAATTTGCAACATTATTAGTTAATGAGATTTCTATTTAACGGGCAGATATGTTCCCAATTTCTTCAATTTCTCTTCCACTACCATCAAGTCATCTGATTAATTTTAAAAATTCCTCTTTGCTTCAGTGGAAGCGGAAAAAAGTCTTTTCCCAAATTAGAGTCTCAAAACATAGCCTTAACCCAATTTTCTTGCCAACTGTTCGGATATTTCGATCAAAATAGGCTTACGAATAAGCTATGTTTAAGTTCTGGGGAAATTTTAATGAAAGAAAAGAAATTGAACCTAGAAAGTCGAAAAAAGTAATCAAAGTAGTTGTGGACAAGAAAGTGGAAAAAAGAGTATATGCTGTGACATAAAGCCGACTGGGAAAATGGAATTCCAAATATAGTTTCCTTCCCACTTTTCAATCCCTTTCCTCTTGATTTAAAAATGTAGTTAAACTTTATTTTTACAATATGGCTAAAATTTGAATATGAGGAGACATAACAGGCAAAGACTGTGAGAAAATTTGATTTTAATAAAGTTATTTTAGTGAATTACATTTGCTTTATTACCCCAAATCTCCTAGCTCTACGGCGAATATATGCAATAATTATACTGCCTCTAGTTAGCTTTAAATAGGATTGGTTAAAAAGAAAAAAGTTTTCTTAAAAGCACATTTCAGTTTTCAAATGAAATTGATTTATAATAGAGTCTTGTACTAAAATGAAACAGCCTTAATGAAAGAAAATGCTGTTTTTTAAGTGACCCTATAAGAAATGCTCCTTGACATATATTTTAGAAAAAGTACATATAGTTTTATAACAATAGAGCCTATATATTAAATTTTAAATTAATATTTGGACTTTTAAAGCTCAGAGACTGGCATCAATACTTAGTTGGGCTAATTAAATTAGTACTAAAAGCTAATGCAACTTTTATTGCCCAAAATTTTGACTAAAATTGCTCCAATAAATTATGACTAATAATTGCCCACCAGGGCGATCTTAAGCTTAATTTTAGATTTGTATAAGAGCGAATTACTTCGGAATACGAAATAAATTAAATAAGAAATCCGATTGAATTCAAACACTTTCTCCTGAATTTTTTGCAGGTAACGCATCAATGTTGAAGTTTGAGTGTGTTTCATTTCTAAAAAGTTTATCATATTCTCTTAATCTAATGAAATTAAATTTATTCTATAATTAAATAAACTCACAATCATAGGTAAAATATTGATAATTGGATGTAAAACTACACGAAAATGGTTATACAGTACTAGATTAGTCGATTAAAAGGGACTTTTTTCATAAATAAAAGTGGAACCTGTAATTTAACAGTCAATCAAATTTTGCTTTTGAATAAAATCCAAATTCTTAGTTGAAACATTTAGGATGTTAAAGTATCTCAGATCTAATTCTTGCTAAAATAATAGTCAAAGTTATCACCAAAAATTTCGGAATTAATTTACATCCTTTAACAGAAAGCACAAATAAATCAATATTACATCCATAATAGAAATAACACAACTCTTAAGACTGTCAAAAGCTTTTGAGATACACCTCTAGCGATTTTATTTCCATTCACTTCACATGTTGATATATGTTCATATGTTTATTGGTTTTTAAACAAAATTGTATACTAAATTTATTCGGCAGCTTAAAAAATCTTTGATTTTTCTTCGTCAGTTAGCATGTATATTGTGAGCTTTGGAATTACGGCTTGAGCTAATGGGCTGAGAAGATTCCACCCTTCCCTCTGTTCCTTTCGGGATCAGCCACTGTCACATTACTACTTTGTTATAACTGAGTTTACGTGGTTAGCTTGGATAAAAAGAAACCACCCCTTTCCTTAAATGACTTTTCGCCATTCTGACAATCGACTGACTGAAACTTAGGTACAACTATCGAGTTGGCGTTCAAGCTACATTTCATCTCGCGTGGTAACATTGTCAACGCTAATTTGCCCTTTGTGACAGTTGCGTTTAAGCCCCTCCCCCCCCCCTCCCCCTCCACCCATTTTCTGTTGGGTAATCTGACGAGCGTATAAAATGACACCAAAGACAAACGGAAGTAGGCAGAGAGACTTCGATGAACAATTTGATTAAGATCTGTATAAGAGTGCTTTGCTTACGATGCAACAATGGTCTACTTGCCCAAATGTTTTACTAATGAATTACGAGGTTCCATTTGTAAGTATTTGTAATTTTTAAAGATTACTTTTCTTTATTTATCGGCGGATATTCTTTGTTCTAATAATTAAAGTTGCAATATCTAATCTGGAAATGACAAGAATTACGTTACGACCCGATAATCGGTTTGAAAAATACCATTAAATGTGAAAAAATGTTTCAAATTGCTATTATTGACTTAAATAGTGGGTATATCGTGCCTTGGAAATAAGAATCAACCATTGGAAAATTTAAACCAATTGAGCAGATGAGGATAAGTTACAACAAAACACAGGCAACCTTATCTTTATTAGAAAGCTGATAGACAGCCCTAATAGTTGTAGAGCGGAGGTTTCGTCTCGCATGATAAGCCATTCTGGCAGTTTTTCGTTATGCTGTAAATAGTTCTTGTCACCATCACAAACAAAAGACCTTAACCCTAGTTCGATGATTAATTGGTCTTTAAATGCCAATTTAATAAAGTGTATCGGTGCTAACATCTTTCTATCGCTCTTACTCTTTTCTCCCTCTGGATTGAGTCGATGGTAAGTGGAAGAAAAAGTCCATTCAATTATATGCATTTCTATGTAATTGGGGTGTGCGATAGACCTACCTCCACGTGGAGCACCCTGGGCAAAAAAGCCTATAAACCGGCAGTTGACTTCTAACTTCAAACTACTATGACCCCACTGTATGTCATATTCTACCACTTCCACAATACTCACTTTTCCTTTTCTCTGCCTTTGTATCTATCTATCTATCTCTTTTGCACCCTTGAATCACTTTTCTGTTTCCCCTCTAGATTTTTTCCCACTTTGATGTTCCTTCCTTCTGTGAAGCCCGAAGTCAGCTAAAGGGCTAACGATAACCATCATAAAGCCTGCCATTCGATACAAATAATTTCTATGTAATCTACTCTGGGCGTCTGCAATTGATTTATGAAATATTACACTCTATCCCCTATGTGTCACTTTATTAAATCTGTTCATTTAAACCGTAAAAATCATGGACATATGTTAATTCCTTGATGAATATTTAAAAAACCTCCAAGTCTTCTTTATGGTGATTTAGATTAAACTCCACTCATGGAGGTACTTTTAAACAGCCTATTAATTTCTATGTTTAAAATTCATCGTCTATTAGGTACTTAGCTTGGGAGATAAAGCATTACACAGACTGTCTACGCACGGTAACTATGCACTGCGAAAATTGACTTTTTGTTTGAGTCACTTACATGTGGAGATTGTACTTTAGCTAGGTCTTTAAAAAATTGTTCGGCGACATTTATATCACGCTGTTGAAGTTCAAAATCTAACTTACTATTTCCAAACCCATTAGGTGAAGTGCTCAGTGCACTCGACCTAGACAGAGGAAAGTTACCTTTGAGCCGCAATTAGGAGCAGCTCACGTTCGACCACCCCTCTTATTGACCGTAATTAAACCTATCGGATTAGTCATATGCACCCCTGAATGTGCGCAGATGGGTATTGATTTTTACGACCTCGGAGTTGATACACACGTGCACACTGACTACTGAGTCATCGGTGTGCACCTACACTTTAATGTTTACCTTTTTGCAGAGACAATAATTGAAATCGATATCATTAAAAAAATAAGTACAATATTTGCATTATGCTTCAGTAAAACTCCTCATAAAATGCTGCAAATATCTTAAATGGGATGTTACAAATTATAAACCCACTTACACTTCACTATAAGTAAAATAACTTGGTAAAACATACCCGTTCTTAGTAGCATTTCTATCGACTATTTCTCGAAAGTGCGTTAGAGTTTCCGTATCGCTTTTCATGATTTCCTCAAACAAAGATTGGCCGTCTGGTTCAAGATCGTAGAAAACGCGGACTGTTTGTTTCTGCAAGTAAATTAGAACGACTTATTAATGGAAAACACATTTTATTTCTCCTTGTTGGCGTAAATGCCCTTACGTAAAGCCAGACAACTTTATAAATTAATAGTGAAATCCTAGTATGTTATCGGACTGATCTCAAAAATTCTGCATTTACATTTAACTATATCACATGGCATCCAGATTTCCATTGTCTTGCTACAAGATAAACTCTCTATCTGATACGATGACGTATGTGCAACTAACTTAGCCATATCTTCAATCCTATCTCGATTACTTGTCTTTGCAAGCGCAATTGTTAAAGTTAAGATATCTGTCAATACTTAATTTTTTAGGACTTTCGCAAGAATGTCCAAACAAGGACTATGGTGAATCTACGATAACAATCACAAGGTCTCTGTTATAAAATGGTAAAAAAGATTTTATTAATTGACAAATGAAAATTAACTATACAAGTGAAAACAGATTCCTTTAAATCTTTACTGCGCCGTTCAAGTTGTCCTCTAATCATAAGGTGAATGGACAATTTGATTGTTTTGTTAGACAGAAAGTAAGAGCACTATTTCTCCTTATCTATTCACTTAGACCAATCATACACAGAGCACTTAGTCTGCTCTAAGTGGAATTTTATGGTTCTCGACGGAGAAATGTTAACCCCGATATGGGCATTAAATTAACCATCACGCTTTCTTGAAACGTCTAACCACCTCAATTTGTTAACTTAGGACTGCAGGTACAATCATTTTGCCCTCTTAACCGAAGGAAAGTACATGAATTGCAGTGACGGTATTTATCAAGGACAATACTAGTAAGCAATAATGAAGGCACTTCTTGTAATCCGGGGGTTGGGAACAAATCTGAAATTTAACTATGGGCAAGTTGAATACCAACTAGCATTTATCGAACACCACGAACCTCTCCCTCCCCCCCCCCTCCCCGCCCAAGGAAAAAAGAAATGATGTTAGGCTCTTGACTTCCTCGAGGGTGATCTTAGCAACCTTTGGAACACCCGACTTCATGTTGACAAATTTCGCTTAAGGCCCCATTTTTTTATCTTAAAATAAAAAGGACCAACTTCCATAAACGGTATGCTTTTGAATAATATTTGCTAAAAATCAAAACTTGAAAATCGCCTTTCTTATGAATGCATTTTAATGAAAAAATTAAAAGTAATCGAAAGAAAGTATATTATCTAATCCATCGTTATGTCAAAAATTTCGTTGCTAGTGACGATTGGTTAATCTTATGGACATTAAGGGGAAGAAGAATATTTATTTATTTATCTCGAATGGCAAACGTTTTGATAGTTATCATTAGCCCTTTAGCTGACTTTGGGCTTCACAGAGAGGAGGAGGAGGAACACCAAAATGGCAAAAAGTCGAGAGGGGGGACAGAATAATGATTCACAGATGTAAAAGAAGTAGACAGACACAAAGACAGAAAAAAGGTAAGATGAGCACTGTGGAAGTGATTGAATATGACATGCAGTCGGGTCATGGTTGTTTGAAGTCAGAAGTCAACTGTCGGTTAATAGACTTCTTTGCCGTATGAGTATAAATTGCTCCAGTGTGCTCCACGTGGAGGTTAGTCTATCGCACACCCCAGGGGAGAAGAATATACTTGGAGAAATGACTAAATACTCAATTCAAACATTTTTTCAATAAGTTCGATCATTCGCGAACCTGGTTTTTCTTATTATCCAACTCAAATACCAAAATTTTAGCTTTTGAATAATCAACTATGAAATGCCAACCTAGACTCGCTTAAATCGATGTGTTTGAGAACAAATTTAAAATGAGAAACAGCCACTCCTAGTGCTCCGGCTTCATTATCTACTTCCACTTGTTCCCCTTCCATAATGAACTGAACGATATTTTCAGCATATCAGTGTTTTCCTATCTATAGTACTCTAGCATAATTTGTTTT